TTGGTTGAGGAGAAGTGCTCCGGCCTGGTTCCCGCCTCCATCCTCTTCAAGTTGAGACCGCGCACCTGGGACCCCATATTGATTGAGGATAGGCACTGCGGCCTGGTCTCGGCTTCTGTTCTCTCCAGACCACGAACCTGGGAACCCATGACAGTTGAGGATAGGCGATCCGGCCTTGTCGCCGCCTCTGTCTTCTTCAGGTTGAGACCACGCGCCGAGAACGTATTCTGAGAGTAAGTCATTCGAGCTTGTTGTCGCCTCCTCTTGAAGCTCGCCTTCTTCTGGCTTCAAGCACCTGGCACTGATGCACGCTGCGGTAGGGCACGCACCTAGGACCCCATATCGGTTGAGGATAAGTGCTCCGCCCTCGTCCCCACCTTCACCTTCTTCGGGACGAGATCGCGTACCTGGGACTCCACGTTGGTCGAGGATAAGCGCTCCGGCCTCGTCCCCGCCTCCGCTTTCGCACCTGGGACCCCTTATTGGTTGAGGATAAGCGCTCCAGCCTCGTCCCTGCCGAGCACGCACCTGGGACCCCAGCTCCCCGCCTCCGCCTTCTTCGGGCTGAGACCACGCGCCTGGAACCCCATATTGCGCCGGCCTGGTCCGCGAGAGCACGCACCTGGGACCCCATATTGGTTGAGGATAAGCGCTCCCGCCTCCGAGCACGCGCCTGGAACATATTGGTTGAGGAAAAGCGCTCCGGGCTCGTCGCCTTCTTCGGGCTGAGACCACGCACCTGGGACCCCATATTGGGTGAGGATAAGTGCTCCGGCCTCGTCCCTGCCTCCGCCTTCTTCGACTGAGACCACGCACCTGGGACCCCACATTGGTTGAGGATAATCAGCGCTCACCTCCTCACTTCGTTCTTCTTGGGGTTGGGACCACGTACCTGGGACACCATGCAGGCGAGCCTGCACGGCTTCGTTCCCGCTCCCGGCCTTTTTCTTCTTGAGGATACGCACCTGGCACTCCACGCTGGTTGCGGTCTAAGTGAGCGGGTTTGGGAGGGGGGTGGGAGGGGCAGAGCGAGGGGGAGGGAAGGGAGCGGGGGAGGGAAGGGGGGGAGGGAGGGGGGGGACCCTCCGGAGGGGGCACCGGGTGGGGGGGGAGGGAGGGGGGGGAGGGTGGGGAGGGGTGCGGGAGCCCCACACCCCATTTTAGTTGAGGATTGTTTTTTGGTGTCTGCCCACTACCCCCTGTGAGACTCGTGCCACCCTCCGGAGGAGGCACCGGGTGGGGAGGGGGAGGGAGGGGGGGAGGGTGGGGAGGGGGGCGGGGAGGGGCGGGAACCAACGCCCCATTTCAGTTGAGGATTGTCTTTTGGTGTCTGCCCACTACCCTCCCGGCCCAGGAGGGGGGGGGGGAGGGCAGGGGAGGGGGGGCGGGGGGGAGACCCCGCACCCCATTGATTTCTGCCACTACCTTCTTTCAGAATTCGTGCCACCCTGCCACCTCTGGAAGGGAGGCCGTCAATAGGGCATGGGAGGGGGAGGGAGGGGAGGGGGAAGGTCGGCTAGCTCCTGAACTGCATACCTTCAGGTTCCTGTTTTGTTTGAGGAAAAGCTCTCCGGATAAGCCCTCTCAGCCTTGTCGCTGAGACCACACACCGCGGCAACCCACATTGGTTGAGGCTCAAGCTTCCATACCCTGGATTGTCCTTGCCTCTGTCTTCTTCGGCTTGAGCTCCCACACCTCGGAACCCCATACCGGTTGAGGATAAGCCTTCCCGCCTTGTCCCTGCCTCTGTTTTCTTCGGCTGGAGCTTCCACACCCCGGAAACCCACATCGGTTGAGGATAAGCTCTCCCGGCCTTGCCGTTGCCTCTGTCTTCTTCGACTTGTGAGCTTCCGCACCTCGGAAACCCACATCGGTTGAGGATAAGCTCTCCCGGCCTTGCCGTTGCCTCTGTCTTCTTCGACTTGTGAGCTTCCGCACCTAGGAAACCCATACTGGTTGAGTATAAACCCTCCCGGCCTTGTCCTTGCCTCTGTCTTCTTCGACTTGTGAGCTTCCACACCTCGGAAACCCATACTAGTTGAGGATAAACCCTCCCGGCCTTCTCATTGCGCTTCTGCAGCTTGAGACCCCACGTCTTGGAAACCCATATTGGTTGATGATAAACCCTCCCGGCCTTGTCCTTGCCCTTCTTCATCTTGAGCTTCCACGCCTCGGAACCTTATATTGGTTGAGGATAAGCCCTCCCGGCCTCGTTCTTGCCTCTGTCTTCTTCAGCTTGAGCTTCCTGGGGCCACGCACTTCGAACCCCGGCCTTGTCCTTGCCTCCGTCGTCTTTTTGCTGGGGTCACGCCCCTCGGACCTCATATTGGTTGAGGCCTCGTCCTTTCTCTTTTCTCCAAGATGAAACCATGCACCTGGGACCCTATCTTGGTTGAGGATAGGCACTCCGGCCTCTCCTCGCCTCCGTCCTGTTCGAGTTGAGACCACGCACCTCGGACCCGATATTGGTTGAGGAGAAGTGCTCCGGACTGGTTCCCGCCTCCATCCTCTTCAAGTTGAGACCGCGCACCTGGGACCCCATATTGATTGAGGATAGGCACTCCGGCCTGGTCTCGGCTTCTGTTCTCTCCAGACCACGAACCTGGGAACCAATGACAGTTGAGGATAGGCGATCCGGCCTTGTCGCCGCCTCTGTCTTCTTCAGGTTGAGACCACGCGCCGAGAACGTATTCTGAGAGTAAGTCCTTCGAGCTTGTTGTCGCCTCCTCTTGAAGCTCGCCTTCTTCTGGCTTCAAGCACCTGCCACTGATGCACGCTGCGGTAGGGCACGCACCTAGGACCCCATATCGGTTGAGGATAAGTGCTCCGCCCTCGTCCCCACCTTCACCTTCTTCGGGCCGAGATCGCGTACCTGGGACTCCACGTTGGTCGAGGATAAGCGCTCCGGCCTCGTCCCCGCCTCCGCTGTCGCACCTGGGACCCCATATTGGTTGAGGATAAGCGCTCCGGCCTCGTCCCTGCCGAGCACGCACCTGGGACCCCAGCTCCGGCCTCGTCCCCGCCTCCGCCTTCTTCGGGCTGAGACCACGCGCCTGGAACCCCATATTGCGCCGGCCTGGTCTGCGAGAGCACGCACCTGGGACCCCATATTGGTTGAGGATAAGCGCTCCCGCCTCCGAGCACGCGCCTGGAACATATTGGTTGAGGAAAAGCGCTCCGGCCTCGTCGCCTTCTTCGGGCTGAGACCACGCACCTGGGACCCCATATTGGTTGAGGATAAGTGCTCCGGCCTCGTCCCTGCCTCCGCCTTCTTCGACTGAGACCACGCACCTGGAACCCCACATTGGTTGAGGATAATCAGCGTTCACCTCCTCACTTCGGTCTCTTGGGGTTGGGACACCATGCAGGCGAGCCTGCACGGCTTCGTTCCCGCTCCTGGCCTTCTTCTTCTTGAGGATACGCACCTGGCACTCCACGCTGGTTGCGGTCTAAGTGAGCGGGTTGGGAGGGGAGGGTGGGAAGGGGGTGGGAGGGGCAGAGCGGATGGAGGGGGAGGGGGAGGGAAGGGGGGAGGGAGGGGGGGGACCCTCCGGAGGGGGCACCGGGTGGGGGGAGGGAGGGGGGGGAGGGTGGGGAGGGGTGCGGGGGAGCCCCACACCCCATTTTAGTTGAGGATTGTTTTTTGGTCACTACCCCCCGTGAGACTCGTGCCACCCTCCGGAGGAGGCACCGGGTGGGGAGGGGGAGGGAGGGGGGGAGGGGGGGGGAGGGGGGCGGGGAGGGGCGGGAACCAACGCCCCATTTTAGTTGAGGATTGTCTTTTGGTGTCTGCCCACTACCCTCCCGGCCCAGGAGGGGGGGGAGGGCGGGGGAGGGGGGGCGGGGGGGAGACCCCGCACCCCATTGATTTCTGCCACTACCTTCCCTGAGAATTCGTGCCACCCTGCCACCTCCTGCCCTGCCCCGCCCCTCCCCGCCCTGCCCTGCCCTGCCCTGCCCTGCCCTGCCCTGCCCTGCCCTGCCCTGCCCTGCCCTGCCCTGCCCTGCCCTGCCCTGCCCTGCCCTGCCCTGCCCTCCTGCCCTGCCCGCCCTGCCCTGCCCTGCCCTGCCCTGCCTGCCCTGCCTTGCCGTGCCGTGCGCTGCGCTGCCCTGTGCCGCCCTGCCCTGCTGCCCCGCCCCGCCCTGCCCTGCCTGCTCTCCTCTGCCTGTCCCACCCTGCCCTGCTCTGCCCTTCCCTTCTTCGTACAATGTTTATTGCTGCTATTGTTTATTTGACGAAGCTGCAAAGGCTCGCTTTCTAACGGAGCTGCACATACATGCCAAAGCTCGCTTTCTAACGGAGCTGCGCATACAATTTCTATTTATCCTGCTCTTGAGGGTTTAGGGTTTAGGGTTTAGGGTTTAGGGTTTAGGGTTTAGGGTTTAGGGTGTGTCGACCAAACTGTTGCGGTAAAAAGAATGTAGGACGGACGTCAGAGTTTTTTTGCGTAAGAGAGTTCGTCACGTCCGTGGACCTCGATATAGATCCCACCACAACCCACCCGGAGCACTTGTCCTTAGCTTAAGTCCTTAAGCGTCCAACACGAAGGAAATACCCATGCAGCTACAGGGAGGCGGACAGTCTTTCCACCGTTACGGCGGCGATGACAACTCTAAGAAAAGAAAGGAGGAAACCTCGAGATTCGCAACTGCCCTGCATTAAGAAGCATATTTTATGACCAGAATTTGGTACACCAAAATCAGCACCAGTTTTCCAATCGCCGAAGGTCAAGGCAAAGTCTAAAGCAGCCACACGAAAAGAAAGGCCGTGTTTTGCTGCAGAATGTGGCTTCGGCCGCTTTGGGCACCCATAGGCACCGGATGGTTTAGAGCAGGCACACGAAAAGAACGGCCCTGTTTTGCTGCAGAATGTGGCCCGGACCTGCTTGGGCACACACGAGCACTCGAGGGTCCATTTTCTGATCCGAGCTCCGAGGGACGGAGTTTAGGGATTGGGAAGGCGGCTAAGAGCAGCCACACGAAAAGAAAGGGGGGCACCTCGAGATTCGCAGCCGGCGTAGTCTAAAAGGCACATTTTATGAACAGAATTTGTCACTTGAAAATCACCAGCAATTTTCCAAATTTTCGGAGGCAGGAATGTGGAAAATTTGGGATTTAAGAGCTAGTTGTCCTTTTCCGAAAAGGACAAGCGCGACTAAATGTAGAAATTCTCGATTTTAGAGCTGGCACACGAAAGGAACGGCTCTGTTTTGCTGCAGAATGTGGCTTTGGCCGCTTTGGGCACCCATAGGCACCGGATGGTTTAGAGCAGGCACACGAAAAGAACGGCCCTGTTTTGCTGCAGAATGTGGCCCCGACCTGCTTGGGCACACACGAGCACTCGATGGTCCATTTTTTGATCCGAGCTCCGAGGGACGGAGTTTAGGGATTGGGAAGGCGGCTAAGAGCAGCCACACGAAAAGAAAGGGGGCACCTCGAGATTCGCAGCCGGCGTAGTCTAAAAGGCACATTTTATGAACAGAATTTATCACTTGAAAATCACCAGCAATTTTCCAGAATTCTGGAAGCAGAATGTGGAAAATCTAAAATTTAGAGCTGGTTGTCCTTTTCCGAAAAGGACAAGCGCGACTAAATGTAGAAACCTGAATTTAAGAGCTGCCTGTCCTTTTCCGAAAAGGACAAGCACGACTAAATGCAGAAAATCTAGGATTTAGAGCTGGTTCTCCTTTTCCGAAGAAGACAAGCGCGACTAAATGTAGAAAATCTAGATTTTAAAGCTGGTTGTCCTTTTCCGAAAAGGACAAGCGCGACTAAATGTAGAAAATCTAGATTTTAGAGCTGGTTGTCCTTTTCCGAAAAGGACAAGCACGACTAAATGTAGAAAATCGAGATTTTAGAGCCGGCACACGAAAAGAACGGCCCTGTTTTGCTGCAGAATGTGGCCCCGACCTGCTTGGGCACACACGAGCACTCGAGGGTCCATTTTTTGATCCGAGCTCCGAGTGACGGAGTTTAGGGATGGGGAAGGCGGCTAAGAGCAGCCACACGAAAAGAAAGGGGGGCACCTCGAGATTCGCAGCCGGCGTAGTCTAAAAGGCACATTTTATGAACAGAATTTATCACTTGAAAATCACCAGCAATTTTCCAAATTTCCGGAGGCAAAAATATAGAAAATCTGAATTTAAGAGCTGGCTGTCCTTTTCCGAAAAGGACAAGCACGACTAAATGTAGAAAATCTAGGATTTAGAGCTGGTTCTCCTTTTCCGAAGAGGACAAGCGCGACTAAATGAAGAAAACCTTGATTTTAGAGCTGGTTGTCCTTTACCGAAAAGGACAAGCGCGACTTAAATTTAGAAAACCGGTTTAGGGCTGAGGGAGGTGGCTAAGAGCGGCCGCAGGAAAAGATGGTTTAGAGCAGGCGCACGAAAAGATCGGCCCTGTTTTGCTGCAGAATGTGGCCCCGACCTGCTTGGGCACACACGAGCACTCGAGGGATCCGATGGTTAGAAACACCGGTTTAGGGTGCTATATAACTCTATATATTACGGAATACTTGCAATCAGTTATGAGCTTACTAGTAAATGGTAGTAATTATGTCTATAATTACCATTTACCTCGTACAGACTAGAAAGTCTTTCGTTTCCTTCCCGAACAAGGTGTAGTACGCTCCTGTACGTAATAAGGCTTAAGCTGAGCATTCAGGCTTAAGCTTTTGAGTTTATAGAAATTGTTAAGGGTTTGGGTCCCAAAAACGTTTTGAACGAAACTTTTTGACCGAAACGTTTTGACCGAAACGTTTTGAACGAAAGTTTTTTTTTGCGAACCATGTTTCGTGGCCTGCTCCTGGCCTTTCGTGGCCTGCTCCTGGCCTTTCGTGGCCTGCTCCTGGCCTTTCGTGGCCTGCTCCTGGCCTTTCGTGGCCTGATCCTGGCCTTTCGTGGCCTGCTCCTGGCCTTTCGTGGCCTGCTCCTGGCCTTTCGTGGCCTGCTCCTGGCCTTTCGCGGCCTGCTCCTGGCCTTTCGTGGCCTGCTCCTGGCCTTTCGTGGCCTGCTCCTGGCCTTTCGTGGCCTGCTTCCGGCCTTTCGTGGCCTGCTCCTGGCCTTTCGTGGCCTGCTCCTGGCCTTTCGTGGCCTGCTCCTGGCCTTTCGTGGCCTGCTCCTGGCCTTTCGTGGCCTGCTCCTAGCTTTATTGTTAAGGGTTTGGGTCCCAAAAACTTTTTGAACGAAACGTTTTGAACGAAACGTTTTGAACGAAACGTTTTGAACGAAACGTTTTTTTTGCGAATCATGTTTTGAAATTTGCTGAGGGGGGGGAGCTGGAGCTTTGGGGCTGGGGCTCTGGGCAACCTGGATTTGGGACTGGGCCTCGATTTGGGTTGGGCCTGGATTTGTGGTCTGGAGCCTGATGCCTGGGGCCTGTTGGGGTCTGGGGCCTGGGTCTGGCTGGGGCCTGGATTTGGGACTGGGGCCTGGATTTGGGGTCTGGAGCCTGGATTTGGGGGTTGGGGCCTGGATTTGGGATTTGGGGTCTGGAGCCTGGATTTGGGGGCTGGATTTGGGATTGGGCCTCGATTTGGGGTCTGGAGCTTAAGCTTTTCGGACTGGGCCTGGATTTGGGGTCTGGAGCCTGGATTTGGGGCTTGCGCGTGGATTTGGGACTGAACCTCAAATGAGGTGTGGAGCTTGGATTTGAAGCTTTTGGGACTGGGCCTGGACGGGGGGTCTGGAGCCTGGATTTGGTGATCTGGAGCCATTTGGTACTGGGCCTGGTTTGGCCTGGGGCCTGGGTTTGGAGGGCCCCAATCCAAGCTCCAGACCCCAAATTCAGACCCAAAATCCAGGCCCCAGGCCCCAAATCCAGGCTCCAGACCCCAAATCTAGGCCCCCCCCAAATCCAGGCCCACCCCAAATCGAGGCCCAATCCCAAATCCAGGCGCTGGCTTGGATTTGGGGCCTGGATTTGGTGCCTGGGGCCTGGATTTTGGCCTGGCCGATTTGGGGTGGGCCTGGATTTGGGGTGTGGAGCGCCTGGACTTGGGACTGGATTTAGGGGGCCTGGATTTGGGAGTGGGGGTGTGGATTTGGGATCTGGGGCCTGGATTTGGGGGAGCCTGGATTGGATTTGGCGTGCCTGGGGTCTGGGGCCTGGGCTTGGAGGGCTGGTGCCTGGATTTGGGGCTGGACCTGGATTCTGGATTTGGGGTTTGGGACCTGGATTTGGGGGATTGGAAGGTGGGCCTGGGTTGGAGGTTATGGAGAAATTGGTTTATCAAGAAGCTTGTTCCGTTTTTGTTCGGGTGGCTGTTTTGAGTTGGTTGGGCTGAGTTAATGGTTGAAGTTGTGGTTGTGCGAAATTGGATTATCAAGAAGCTAACGCCAGTTTTATCCGAAATGCTACTGGAGCCTGGATTTGGGGCCTGGGGCCTGGATTTGGGACTGGGCCTGGATTTGGGGTGGGCCTGGAT